TCCTCTGAGATGTCTTTTTGAATTCGCAGTCCGGCTTATGGTATTTACAGTCTTGGAAGTTCCTAGTGGTCTCCCATTCAAATCGTAACCAGAAATTAGCTAGGTGCTGCCACATGCAGGGCTCCTGCTCCCATAATTCTCAGCCAGTGCAGCTATTACATGGCATGGGCATTTAAAGGATGATCTATGGGGAAACAGACCATTCAGCTTTTCTCTGCAAATGTACACATACTCAGCACTGAGTCTTGGCTAAGCTCTAGCCTATTTGCATTGCAGGGAGTGATAACATTTTCTTTAGTGCATCCAGATGAGCCTATGTACCATGTTGATATGAAGTGTCATCAAGATACATTTCCATCTTTTGAACTTCTCCCACAGTTTCCATCTGTTGCCAAGCAGCAGAAAAGGTGATCACCTTGGGCACTTGCGGTAGGTGGAGGAAGAGCTGCTACTGTGGGAAGCAGAGTTTTTTTCCCCCATCCTTTCAAGTCCAGTATGTGAAAGGATATAGGGTGTTAAGTATTGATGTACTTAGGACTCTGAGACTGATAAGTTCCATTGGATCTTGTGGCTTGCTTTCTTCTTTTAGCATTGTGCATGCTTGAGGATTGTGAGAAAATGAGCGTAAAATGTTTCTCACTCAGATTACAGGCATTTCCTGATTAAATATTCTCCACCACCTCCATCTAAACAGCAGGATTCAACTGATATTTGAACTTCTTTTCATGAGGCATTGTGGGCTTCGAAAGCAAATAAGTGCTCGTTTTATTACTTAAATCACTATCATAAATCTTACCAAAGAGGAAGTTGCTGTTTCTTCAGCTTCCCCTTCAGTGTCCTTGAGAAAACAAATGACACGACAGTTGCAAGAAATTGCAATTGGTAATACTTCCCATTCCTTTGCCTCTTGTTTAGTCTAGATCTCCTTTTGCAGATGAATTTGATGGCCAAGTCCACTTTGTTACAGTAGCTGCTTTCCAGATTTTCTTTGCCTGGACCTTTTAAACACTTTATTGTGTGTTTGGAGAGTTATTTGCAAATATGCTTTGCAGTCCTAATTCTACATACTCAGGCAGAGGATCCTGCAGCACACATGGTCCTTCTTGGAGAAATCACATACACAGATTAGGGCCTCAGGCAGAGTTTCCCAGCCTGATCCATGGGTTGGGACTACAGAGAAAGCTCAGGTGTGAGCGCAGACTCAGTTCATTCAGAAGATTTGACTTTTCCATAATTGGAAATATTGTTTTCTTATAATAAAATCAGCTACAGATGACCTCTGATTTCAACTGGACCATGGAACTGGGGTCTTGGGAAGGAAGGAGCTGCCTTACTTCAGAATTGCCAGGGAGGAGACATCTACAGACTGTCTACAGATTGCTATTATGCTCTATTTCTATCATATGCTGGATTCAAATTCCCTCCTTAAGGGGGCGTGGGGGGATTTGAATCCAGCATATGATACAAATAGAAAGGATTAGAATCCCCTTCCAGCTAATAATTAACTATACCTAAGATTATATGCCTGCCTGCCTGCCTGCCTGCCTTCCTTTGACAGTGGGAGGGAATAAATATTACTCACTGGCATCAGAAACAGCTGCCTTTTGTGATTATAAGTTATTTTCCTACTTGATTGGAGTATTCACTAGGTTAAAACTTCACTTTTAGTAGGGTTACTCTATAGAGGTTACAAAACTGCAAACACTGGATAGCAGTAAAGAGATACAGAAAACATCTTTGCTGCCAACTAGAGGCTGTCTGGATTTTTGCCCTTATGTTGAAGAACTCTTTTCAGTTCCATTTTCACCATATAGAGATGGGATGAGGAATGATAATAAAGTAATATATCTGCTATCAGCTGGTAAAACAATGATTCAGATTATTTGTTCTTATCAAAAGTTGAATTTCACCTTGACCTATTGGAACATTGCATAAGTCTTCCAGGTTTGTTTTTCCTCTCAGAATTCTCATTTTCTTCATGCTTCCCAATGAAATCTTCCATTTCCACCAGCCCTTCTCCCCCTCCATCCTACCTTCTCAGAGGAGCAAATTATAGAGAAAATGTAAGTTGGGAGTGCATAACATTCAGTGCTGCTATTCAAGGATTCCATCCATCCATTCATGTCCTTTTTGCAAGATATTTCACACTACTCTTTTCCTCACACCACCAATTTTTCCACTCCCTCCCTTCCAAATGCTAATCAATATTCCATGGTTGATTCATGCTCAGACTTTTCTTTTTCATGATTGTGTCTTTAGGTTTTTCTTCCAAAGATTTTGAGTAACTATGCAAGAAAGTGGCATAACTTTAGGTTAGGGCACATCTCTCAACTGAGTCCCAAATGTATCATTTCTTTTAAATCATTGAAATGTCATATTGACTAAAATCCCATGAGGTTTTGAGTAGTCTTGCTTAATTGCTTGGTGATTTTTGCTTAGCTATTACACAAGAACATTGGGAAAGGTTCCTTTGCTGTGGGGTTTCTGTGAACCTATGGATCTCTTCTTGTTGGGTATGGATTTTGCTTTAGCAACATTAGGATTCACTTGTGAAAATGAGTACACTATTAACATTGTCCTTCTGATTTACACAGGAGATAAGTTGTATCATTACATTTATATCTCAGTAAAACAAATATGAAAATGTATTAGCTTTCCCTTTTCACTGTGAAAGGAAGGAATGATATCTTCATCTCCTTTTCAATGGGGGAAAACAGTCCCTACTTCTGTGCATTTCCAGCCTACTTTTCCACACAGATAGAAGGCCTCAATATGGCCATTCTACAAAAGAAGAGACTTTCCCCACTCCACTACCAATTCCAATGTGGAAAAGTCATGGAGGAATTCTTGCTTCCTCCTGAAGACAAGGAAAGTTTAGGAAGCTAGGAGGAGAGGATGTTGGCCTTCTAAAATGCCCCTCATGCCCTATACTGAAGACTGATGGGCTGCATAAGCTCCAGAGGCCCAAATTTCCCCATCCCTGTACTACAAAAAGCCACTTTAGCAAATTGCTTCTGACAAAGGGGAGTTTTTACTAGATATATTTTCTAAGATTCAATTCCCAACCAAATTTAAACCACCAATCCCATAGGGTTGTGGGATAAACTTTATGGGCACAATCTACCATTAACACTTCTTCAGATTGTTCCACTGAAGTTAACATGATACAAATATTTTATGCCATGATTAAAATTTACTAATAAGTCTTGCATGGTACCCTCTCTGTCAACTTTTCACAACAGATTATTCCCCTTATTTTTAGTTTCTGGAAGTTGTGTGGCTAGCAGAGAGGGGTTTTCTTAAGTCCCACCAAAACAGAGAAAGCCTACTTTTTCCATGGAGGACATGCATATGTTTACAGGCATTCTGTAAGGTGCAGTAAGCTCTGAAGATGTAGTTAGATCACTTCTGAATCGCACCAGTGAATCTTCACCAGCTGAGAACCACCATGAGGAGAGACATTAGGTAACATCTGATGCTACAGAAGTGGACCTCTGCCTATGCAACAAAACTTCCTCCCTTCTCTTCCCTTCCCACCCTGCTACATTCCCCTCTGTTTGTTCCAGGGGAATCCCATCTTCCAGAGCAGGTTTCAGGAGTGGGCAAAGAGGCATCAATTTCCCCGGCACATGGCACATCATTGGGTATGGTGCTATTCTCCCCTCTGCTGTTTTAGTCATTTCTTTTCTTTTCTTTTCTTTTCTTTTATTTTCTTTTGCAGGGAGAGGAGTTAATGGTTAATTATCTGATTCAGAACCGACATTGTACAGTACTCTTATCATCTCAGCCAGAAGGATATATATTTTAAAATAGATAGATGAAATCCAGGCAAGGACAAACCAATGGCCCTCTCCTCCACCTGCTTTGGGACTGCAATTCCCAGAATTCTACTGGATGAGAAGGTTGTCCTAGAACGATTCAAAAAGCCAACAATAAAGAGCAGCTAAAGGTTCATGGCCACAACTGGAAAAGTTTCCTTCTCTTCCAAAATCACAACAAGGCCACTGCTGGAAGGAAGCTCTGCATTTCTCTCAGCTTCAGAAATTTCCTCACCTCTCAGCACAGGAAGTTGTTGTCGCAGCTCACCTGAGGGAGTTCCTGTTTTGTAGCCATGGAAGGATTTTGTTCAAATGAAGTTTTGGAGAATGATGTAATATCGGATAGCCCTCCATAATAGTAATTATTCTGGTGACCTGGTTACAGCCTACAGTGTTATTACAGTCCCGTGGTTTGTGTTTTTATCACAAGAGGTGGGGGTGGGGGAAAACAGGAGCAGAATAATTTCAAAAGGAACAAAACAGAGCTTCCAGATTTCCTTTGGATCAATGAAGTCTTTTCCTTTTTCCATTTTATGGTAGCACCCAGTTCTAGCATCTAACAGATGTAGCCTGTCAGATGCACATAGGGAATGGGCCATAAAAATCTTAGCTTCCAGTGTGAACTAGGATGAACAGCAGGAATTACTGAAAAGCCTGAACATTTCTTTTCCAAAGAAATTTACCTTTTGCTCTCCAGATAAAACTAAGGGAAACAAACAGGCAAGAGACTCTACTGTATAAAAGTATACGGGCACCCCAGTGACCTACATACTATAACTGACCATACTGTATACATTTGCACTGATAAAAGAATGCTGGTGTTTCCAACCCTCAGGTCATCTGATTCTTTTTGCTATATGTCCCATTAGGGATCTGCCAACTTGATCAATCTCCCTGGAAATGGTGTGACTCTTCTTAAAGTTTGGGGACTTTAAGAGCAATGCTTTTCATTTCTACAGTTGAAAAGTAAAAGTTTCACTTCCTCTCCTGTAATCCTGAAACGGCAATCTGCCTCAAATTTATTTGGGAGGTAACCCATGTTAAGCTCACTGGAAATTACTTCAGAGACAGTGTAAATCTGAAAGACTGCTCACAAGCAAGAACTAGTGAGAAAGGTAGAGGGAATGCTTGCCAGTCTGTTATGATGAACGTAAGGAAGTAACAAGGCACATGTTTGTATGCTATTTTAATAGGGGGCTTTGGATCTTAATAACTTAATGAGCCATACTAAAGTAGTTATTACAGAAGGTTTTACATGTACTAAGACAATGACCTTTTAAAAGAAACATTTTTTATTTTAAGTAAATATTAACTTCAGGTGTCTTTTTCTCAACTTTTGGTGCCTGGATTTCCATCTGACAAAATAATCAACAAGTTAAGGACCAATAGCCAAATCACCATTATTCCAATTGTATCAGAAGACAACAGTCCTCTGAAACAGCTTCATGGCAAATCTATTAAAAAAAAAAACAATAGTCATGAAAAGCAGACATCTCATTCATCCCATTTCAGTTGGGCCTGTTCATGGTGCATACAATGAAATTCCAAATTGTGAAGTACTAGTGCTCGTAAAATGTTCCCAAATATTCTTTCTGATAGAGCACTTTAATATAAAACTCCCAAATCTCAGAACAGTGTTTGGAGACTCTCCTCCTTAGGAGGGATTCACAATGGTAAAACACATATACTAATGTACTGTTTCTAAAAGAAGAAACAAAGTTGTAGTGAAATTGAGGAGTAAATAAAACATTTTCAGAACTCACATGTACAAATAAACATGTGCATGTAAGTGGAATGCTGCAAACTTGAACATTTTCCATGTAAGCAAAATGAAGAAAAAGATAAAAACTGCCTACCATAAAAAACTGCCATATCACAGAGTTATATGAAGGCATGAATTTCTATACGATATATAATAGCTTTCCATACCTTTTCAGCATTCTATTTTCTTGGTCCATTTAAAATTACTAAAACAATCATTATCTGGATGACAGAAGAGACTTTTGGTCTTGTAGTGATTTAAAACATATAATTCACTTGAGGGTAAAGATTAGTGCTTTAAAACAAACATTGCATTGCAACCAACAAGCACAAGATAGCAATAGCTAGATTACATTTTTCCATCTTTTGAGAGATGACACTTAACCATTTTGGAATTACATCGCATGATACTAGTTTTCATTCTCCCCTCACCCCCCCCCCGCATTAGACATATTACATGTCAGGTTTTGCAGAAGCACCATAATATTTTATTTAGCATATGTTATTGATAAGTTATTTTTCTCCCTCTTCTCCAGTCAACCTAAATTCAACTATGCCAAGGTTACCAAAGAAGTATAAAAAGGGGGCTATATTCAGCTGGCATAGACAATAGGCACTGGCATGTACAACAGAAATTCCACACTTTGTCATCACTTAAAATAAAACAAAATACAAGGAGTGCATTCTTATTTGCACAATTTCCCACTAACGCCAGAGCTAGATGGGCTACTGCCAAAAACGGTGTCAAACTTTTTCCATCCAGATTCCCATGATTTGAAATGGGGGTGAGGAAATGTATGACATGACATGCAAAGACAACTGCTTGTAATGCCCTGCAATCAGTGCTGCGCATCATTCCAACACAAAAGAAGAACTGAAGTCAGTCCCCAGCAGTATAAACCACACCTTTCTTTTGTCCAGTCAAGGTTAAACATTCCTTTTGATTCCAATTTCCAATTTACTCATCCTGGTCTGGGAACACCTAGTCTTCATAATGGCAGCAAGGGAGTTATCTGTTCGAAATCTTCAGCCTAAGCACAGACAACTCATACAGCTTTTCACTTAGCTAATTCTGTCCAATCAATGGTGGCAAAAAAAGGATGTGCTTTGATGTCTTCAACTCCAGCGATTCCAGAGCCAAGACGTTCCATAGAATTGAACTGCAAAAGCTTAAGAGAAAAGAACATACCAGTCAACCCAGGCTATGCTGATTATAGCTCATCAGCACAGAGGATTGTATCCTCTGTAATTAATACATAGTGCTGCATGCCTAAATTTCAATAACGTATATTACACCTAACTTTTTTTTCCATGTGGCTGTAAAAAAAAAAAAAGAGTAAACAAAAAATGGAAAAAGACCAGGGTAGTGGCCTCTCATAGTTACAGCTCTAGTTTTATCATATAGCTGGCCACCCTCTTTTCTCTAAGTCATTTATCATTACTTACATTGTTATTGCAGTATAACAGCCCATTTGTTGGAATCTGTTTCTACACATCAGTTATCTTGGAAATGTGGATTAGGAGGATGAATTTGGCATATTCTAGAATACATTCTCTTCCATCTTCCATGGCAACTCTGGAATTACTAATCTTGAAACTAATTATGTCACCTGTCATTCTATGGAGAGAGAATCTGTCGGTTGAACACAGTAGCATGTGATCAACCATAAATGGCTTCCATGCTACTCTGGTAGTAAAGAATCAGCTTAAATGTCAGTATGCTTTTTGAGACTGAAAGACAAAAATAAAATCAGTTTTGTACAGTTAACTTACATATCTTTGAAACTGGTTCTCTTTTAGAGACTTTATAAATAAGTATCAAATGCACATGTAGCCTAACATTATGGTTGATCTCCCTTGCCTACATGAGGGTGAGCAATGCCAGTGCTGTAGGAGAGTGTAAATTATCATAATTGTCCAACAAACATGAATAACACATCTTTGAAACATCTGGCAGAGGTCAAGACAGTAAATTGAAGCAACTGATTCTATTGTTGAAATGTTCTTGGGTTCATTTATCTCACTCACAGCCCACTCTTCTCCTGAAGAGTTCAACAAAGCCTCTGTATTGCTACAAATGCCCTCACCTAGGAAGCTTACATGGTTTAAGGAGATTACATCCCTGATGGCCACTATATTTAGGAAGTAATGGGGGAGTCTGTCATAAAGTTTACAGGAAGGTAAATGCTCCTTCCTGTAGATGAAATCCACGTGAATTCTGTTCTTTTCTTCTCTCTCAGGTTGTTATTCCCTTTCTATTTTAAAAAAAACTGTAAAAATATAAGCATCCAATCACCAATTTTCTTTTGTCTATACTCATATTCTTACAAAACACTATCAATTCCTTTATTCTGTCAACCTTACTCTTTAATGAACCCATTCTTCACACATCAAGGGCAATGGATATAGAACAATGTGACAAACTTCTATATTCACAAGGCATGTCTTTTTAAGAATCCTAGACCCTAAACATAATCTGATGTTAGGGATCAGTCTGAGTCTTCAGATTCATAAGCTGAAGAGCTTGACCAGTCTGAACCACAGACTGCACCACAGGAATTAGCTGAAGAGAGTACACCTGAGATCACCTAAGTCAGATGATTCAGAGTGTAGTCAAGCTCCCAAGCCCAGCAATATCTTGCAAATTAAGAAGAAACAGCAGAGGAAGTTGAGTGTTCTGCTTGAAAGAAAGCAGCACAGACTGAGCCAGTTACTAAAACTGATAGAGACAGCTTTTGTAGCAAACTTATGCTTGAATCTCCTACCTGTGATTCTGTCTGTACACTGTTATTGGATTAACTGTTATCTTAGACCAGAAAAAGACTATTCTTGAATCTTCCTGAACTTGAGATATGTCTCTCCAGACTCTTTTGTGAAAATACGTTCTTATGAATATTTTCTACACAGAAACCTTTGAGTTTACAATATGCTTCATGTTACTTTGGTGAAAGATTTACAATTGCAACTTATCTTGAATTTGTTATCAGAAGCTGTGTGTGTATTTAATTGGCAGCACAGAATATTCCATAGACCTCTCTAACCAGTATAACAAATCCAGAAGATGATTTGACAGGAAAGGACTGGCCATATTCTTGCTACTTCTCACTTTCCTTATGCAACTGCCTCTGTAGAGTGACTTTTTTCTTGGATATAATTTGTTCATGGACAACTTACACTTACCTCTAGTAGTTCACCTTCTGATTAGGCAACATTTACTGACTGATTTATTAATTTTGCAGTATCTGCATGCCATCCCAATCTCTAAACATAATTATATGTGGTCACCTATTATATATTTAAGCAGACCAGTGAGTAATTTTATGCCTGTGGATTTCCCATAGTTCTTTTTGAGATTTGTTTTTAGTAAACTTGATTAACTGTGCAACCAAGGCTGTACTGGATCCCTGTACCTTGCCTTATGAGGCCTAGACTGCTGATGTATAATGTTTTTAAGTTAATGGAGGATACATTGGTTTTTAATTACAAAAAACTAGGAATTTAGCTGACAATCCCTCTGTTCTTGAGTAAATAGGTAGTAAAATATGAAACTTCACTTTTCATGGCTCATTAAAGTATATAGAATTAAAATGTTTCAGATAAAATATTGTCTGTTATGTAATGTAGCAAGGAAGGTAGAGCAAGATTTCTGGAATTCTTTCCTTTACCAACAATAGCCATAGGAGGCATCTGTATTTTCTTTCATGTAAGTAACATGTTGCATCTATGTAAATGTGCGTTTATCCTCTCCCATCGTATTGCATCTGTATATGTGCACCAGAAAGCAAAGAGCAGGCTGCACAGGTTCTGCTCTGAATCATTGTGATGAAGGAGGAGGAAGGTGGACTTAGAAGAGCAGCATTTCAAGCTGTTGTCAGCTACCTCTCCCATATGGATATATTTGAGAGTTTTCTTCTGATTTTTTTTCTCCGCTGCCTCCCCCTCAACTGGATCCAGCCTATTTCAAACTTGGTCCTCTTTTGCCAACTTCTCCCATGACACCAAATTTGATCCCATTCTGTTCTCTTTCCAGAGGGTTATCCTGCTAGTACACAGACACCCCTTTACATAATTTCTTTCCAATATTTTTTTGGGCTAGGAAAACAAAACCCAGAATGTGCTTGGGTATATATGTATTTTTAACTGAAAGATTATCTGTAACCAAAACCTATTACATTATATGTGAGGCTTATTAATGGCAGCTGGCTAACTGTCAGTAACTTTGTTTCAAGCTATCAACTTTGTTTTAAGCCTTAATGGTTCAGAATTAATCTTGTCAATTTACACTGGATGCAAGAATCCAAAATCACATTTTGATAGGCCTGTTAAAGAAGTTAATGAACATTCCACTTATTGGTTCATAAATGCAGACAAACTGGCAGATAAAAGAGGAAAGAAGAATGTATCATGAAATACCTGTGGCATTAAAACACCTTGTGATCATTTTCAGAGGCTTTACCATACTATCTTTTATATTGCCTCTTATATTTATCAGCCCATGAGAAATACAATGAAAAAAGATGGACTGTCTCTCCACTCAGTCTGGATGAAAAGTAAGTTTTCTTTTACCTGATTTTAATGAAGGTGTGTGAGAGAGCCAGTGGTTAAGGCATCAGGCCAGAAACCAGGAGACTGAGAGTTCTAGTCCCATCTTAGGCACAAAGCCAGCTGGGTGACCTTGGGCCAGTCCCTCTCTCTCAGCCCTAGGAAGCAGACAGTGGCAAACCACTCCGAAAACCTTGCCAAGAAAACTGCAGGGACTTGTCCAGGCAGTCACCAGGAGTCAAGAATGATTCAAAGGCACACACATGCACAATGAAGGTGTGTCACAGAACGTAGCCCTATTTGCACTACCAGCACAAAATGTTTGTTTAAATCATATGGAAAAATATAAAAATACTGCTTGAGAGGTAGCCCCAGTTGGGGGTTTTAGTGGAAACCAATGTGATCAGTTCAGGCAGAGGAAATTAAGATAAACTGATGCTTTTTAGACAATTGATATTTATCTAAAAAAGTCTTCAGAGGCCCAAGGTCCTTTAGCAGCTAAAGACTCTCAAATGAAATGTAATGAAATGGTACAACTGACTGCTACTATTAATAATACTAAGTAGCTTTTTTGAAAAATCCACAATGAAGTCAAAAGGGAGATGAATATATACATAGAAAGTGAAGTCAACTCTTCCTATCTGCAACTTCTGACAGAGAATAAATGTTTGAAAGGAGTATAAAAATATTTACAAAGGATAAAGGAACTGAAGTTTACCTTTCTTCCTTCTTATGAGTCTGTCACATTCTAAATAAGCAGTTCAAAAGAATAATTTCATTTCTAAGTTTCTTTTAAAGGGAATTATATGCAGTTGTCTTTGGTATTCTTTTGGGCACATGCCTTCATATGCATACATCCAATAATCAAAGTGAGAAATTTTCCCATAAAATGTATTCATCTGAACATCTTAAGTTGGCTCTGCCACTTAAAACTGCTCTACCTCACTTAGTAAAATAACTCAGATAACAAAACAAGTCGTCTTTGTGAATATACATGAGTTAGTAGATAAGCAGTCACAGAACAGCCTCTCTGCCGTCTTCTGGAAAATATAACAACTGATACCAGGTGGAAAAATTAAGTACAAAGACATTTATGTTCTGAAGGCTTCCCCTGTTACAAGAAAAAAACTTTAATATGAGGAAGCAAATGCAGAATAAACTGCATTAAAGCTGCATAGTTCAAAAAGAAATTGGATATTATGCTAGCCAGGACAGCTTTTGAGAAACTCAATGTCAATTAAAAGAACCTTAAGAATTTCATCTGTATCTTCAGGTAATCAAAATAAGTAATAATGCCTCTGAACTATGTGGCTTCTAGTTGGCTAGATCGGGGTGGGGTATTATTTTTTCAATGAGGTCACTGATTTTGAAAGCCATGTCATGGGACACATTTGGCACACTGTTGTGTATCTGCACACTGTTCCTCTCCTAGACATTCTGTGATGGGCTGACCCAAGCAACCTGTGAGGGGGTGGAAGAGGAAAATCATAATGACAAATGACTAGCTATGCCAAGAGCCCCTTTTTCCTTTTCCTGACAAAGCTTCCTCAAAAATGAATGGTAGTTTCCTTAGAAAGACACACAAAAGAAAGTTGATTTACTAGCCAATGGAGCAGACTCTTCAACTGTAAAGTCAGCCACATGCAGCCCAGAGATGAAACACTTCCTTTTGGACATGGGTAACCTTGAACCTGGGGGAGGAGGGAAAATAACAAATGGTCTGGCATAAAGTGCTAGATGTTGCTATGTATTGCTTTAATAAACTCTCAAAGATGCCAGTGGTAAAATTCCATTCATTTTCAATCTCTTTTCTGGGGTGGAGTATAAAATATCCTCTATTCTATGAGACTAAAAACTAGATGAAGTTGTCAATCTTAATAGCATATGAATATTTTATTCTTGTTTACTTATTTTACTAGACTTATCTGCTGCTCCAATCAAATACTGACTCTAAGTGGTTTACAATCCTATCTACGTAAATAGATTAAAACAATAAAAAGAACCAAATGATAATAATAAAAAGGTGTAATCAAAATGAAAGAACAATGCCAGCAACAGCAATAGCAGTCATACAACATGACAGATCTAAATCAGTTTGACTCCATCATAGATGTTTGTTAAAATAATCAAGTTTTAGTATGTTTCTAAATCCTAATAGATTATACTCACTTTAATATAAGAAATATATCATTACTCCCAAATTACCTATGGGCAGGGGAGACTATTAAAGATAAATCAATGGATTTCTACAACAATTTTGTGCCCTAGCTGTATGTGGTGACAACAGCTGGATAGGTCTTTATAATTCTCTGTAATTCTTTCTCTCCTTTCCAAGATTAAATAAATAAATAAAATCCAGTGTTCATCCATTTTTTTCCTGACAAAAATGGTCTCTATCTTTTGTAATTGTATAACTGTAGGGCTTTTCTACCCTACCCACTAATACGTTAATAGTTTAACTTCTTTACTTGTTTATATATTAGACAAAGATACAGAATTTTACTGCTAAGGAGATGCAGCTACTAGGAACACTAAGATAAACTACAGTCCTATAAGTATGTTTTCAGACTTCGAATTTAAACATTACTCCCAAATATATTTTAAAAACTTCTAAAGATAAATGCGGAAGATAGGAAATCCCTTGCAACACCTAGTATAAAGAGAACAAAGCTAACTTTATTAACATTGTAAGGTGATGGGAGGTTGCTATTTCCACTGGGTGAAAAATTTCTATTTGTTAAACTTTGGATACGTTGAGTAGAACATACGGCATATGTCAGTCTGGTTTTAGCCGTATATAAGAAGTACAACAGTTATATACATTCACCAAGTATTTACCTGTTGAAGGAGTGATCTGGCCTCCTCTGAAATGTGATCTGGCAAATTTAAGCAAGTATGAGTATTTATTCCTGCTGGGTGGCACTCCAGGAGAGTCTATAGCAAACCAACAAGAAATGCAACATATTAAAGTGCATGTTATGATATAAAGAATGGCAATACATGTTACTATATTCAAAACCTTAAAGTAATCCTCCTCAATCTAGACTATGATTTCCATACTCCTCAACCAGCAGGCAATTGGCTTTGCTGACTGGGAATGAAGGAAGTTGTAGTTTAACAAGTAGAACTAACTGATGATCAGCAGTACAGTACAGAATGGTACAGGTTTGCATTGTTTAGGGAATTTTCATCTTTTGAATATTCATTATGCATGCCTAACATCTCATTCCCATTCTGAGATGTAAAAAATGGAGATGCAGACTAAGGTATACAAATTCAACCAGGTAATTATGACCTCTGTGAAAATCCCTAACAATGATGGAACTGCAAATCTCATTAAAGCACAAAGCAATCACAGTGGTATCTCCTCACCAAAAGTTATAAGTAGACATACTTTGCATTGTACATACACATATTATCCACTTCCACTGCAAACAAATCTGGAAAACAAACTGATGGGTTGTTCCCAAAGGTGTTCTGAAAATGCGAATAAGGGCACAAAGATCAAGGAGGTACAGACCTCTGCTCCAATTCTCAGGCAGGTTACCCAACCTCATTATGTTCTCTTTCATACAGGCATAATCTACCCTAATTCACATCATCTCCAGGGATTGTGGAAGTTGTATTTCAACATACACCATTGCTAGCAAGGGGACACCTTTAGAAAGGGTTTAGAAGCACCTCATTTGCTTTCAAAAAAAGCACAGAGGAAGAAGCCAGATGGGCCCCTCCATCCAACAAGACACACTTTCCTCCCACTCAAGTTAACCTTTCAACAGGCTGGAGGAAGGGAGGTGAAATCAGGGGAAAGGATTGATTTGTTTGACAAAAATTATGGTCCTATGTCGAACCAAACAAGTATTCCAAGTAATTTTCTTTTCTTTTTTTAATCTCCCTTTGCTATTATACATTTGCCTTTATTTGTCTTCCTGAAGTGCTACCAGATCCATAAAGATGAGTCTAATACAAAACATTAGAATTCTGCCCTATTTCAATGAGGGGCAATGAAATAAGAATTCATTTTTTCATGAATTCACTTCCACAATATATCCAGCAACTTGCATTCATTGTTAATTACTTCTTGTTCCTGTGTCTTACATTTCAAAGGAAATACTTCTTTTACCTCTATAGTTTTTTCCCCAGAAACATGTTATATACTCTAAACCCTACCAGCATGTCTTATTAAAGCAAACACTATTTTTTTGATAATGTCTGGGTTCATACCCCATGCTAAGCCATAATATCCTTTGTTCAGTTTCAGTTTAGCACACTGTTTAGTTTAGCACACTGAACTAGATAATGTGGTATAGGCCATGGTTTATGGCTTAGCATGGTGTAAGAACCCAGCCATCTGTGGTTTATTCAACAAACTATAGTTAAAACAAATTATCACTTAATGTGATGTGTGAGCCCACCAGCAAGATTATGTAGTATCATCAGCTGTTCTGAAGATTTTTCTTACAATATAAAAGTTCCTATCCTGTATTTTTGTTACCCTATATTATATTACTAGTTTTCTCTGGGCTGCAAAAATCCAAATGTCCATCAAATGGTAGCAAAACATTAATTTTCTATATCTCTTAGCTGCCTTTGGATATTTATAGCCCAGACTCGGTCCCCTAATTTTCTGTAGCATTCCAGGACTTGGCATGTCTTTTTTAATGGTCAGTACACCCTACCTTTCCAGTAAGTAGTTCAAAGAGAAGGGCACCCAAACTCCACCAGTCGCAGACCTCTGTTTCTTCAACGACAACACCAACTTCTGAATGAAAGGTGAGTGCAGTTAAAATTCAAAGGTCAAATACCCTTTCAAACTTGCATTTGCAAGAGGACTCGAATGTTGATAGATCATAACAGAACATTTTTTTCTCCAATAGTTATACATCACTACAGACATACCAATTTGACACAACAACCAGGACTGTCAAATGTTTATCCTCTAAACACAGTATAATTGCTGAGTTCACACATCATGCTAAACCATAAATAGTTTAAGCTTAACGTGCTGTGTGAACCAGCCATTGTGGTTTGTAAAACCTGTAGCCAATCACTGTGGCTTTTTCAACAAATCATTGTTATAATAAGCCATAGCTAAGTATGATGCATGACTTCAGTCACTATCACCACCCTCACTTGACTAGAGGAGCAATCTAATTTGCTGAATTAAAACAATTCTAGTAATCCCAAAGGGAAATAAAACACACTAATAACATTTTTTAAAATCCATTCGATTATGTCCAATTCTCAGAGACTCCCTGGACTAGTCCCTGCAGTTTTCTTGGCAAGGTTTTTCAGAAGTGATTTGCCATTGCCTCCTTCCTAGGCTGAGAGAGAGTGACTGGCCCAAAGTAATTAAAACAATTCTAGTAATCCCAAAGGGAAATAAAGCTCACTAATCATATTTTCTAAAGTCCGTTGAATGAGGTACAATTCTCGGAGACTCCCTGGACTAGTCCCTGCAGTTTTCTTGGCAAGGTTTTTCAGAAGTGATTTGCCATTGCCTCCTTCCTAGGCTGAGAGAGAGTGACTGGCCCAAAGTCACCTTTCATGCCTAAGGCAGGACTAGAACTCACAGGCTCCCAGTTTCTAGCCTGGTGCCTTAACCACTACACCAAACTAGCTCTCTAATAACCACATGCAAAATGACCAAACTTAAAACAAGGTCACAATGGTGACAACAGAAACACCCTAATGGGCACAGCAGTCTAAGTCAAGCTGTACAGGTAGGTGTTTAGCTGAAAGCTCATTCAGTTTGGTGAATTCAGGGAAGGAATTCCACAATCAGGAACTGTCATTTCCATTCTGAAAGGAGATACATCTCCTCTTCATGTTAGAAACAGAAACCTGCTTCTAGAGCAATTGTCTCCAACCTGGTGCCCTCCATAGGTCCTGCTGGCAAGGAATTATGCAAGCTGTTTTTCTGGGGGTTTACATCTGGAGGTTGCTAGGTTGGGGAAGGCAGCTGCACCTCCTATTTTAGTGAAAGGACAGGATTACAGGAGTGACTGAGTAGCCTTGAGAAAGCAATTATCTCTCAGCGACAGTGGCATGCAGTGGATTTAGCACTATAATGAGAGGCTTTTATCTTTAAGTGCTGTTGTTTTTAGGGTGGGGCAGGCTGCAAATAATAACAACAATAATGCATGGCTATTTAGTGGATTTCTGGCAAATTCTGCCTGAAGTGGAATCAGAAAAAGATGAGGAATGGAATTTAAGCTTCTTTTCTGGGCAACGTCCCTGCGTGTTGAACCTGTAGGTCAGTGTTTCTCAACCTTAGCAACTTTAAGACATGTGGACTTCAACTCCCACAATTCCGCCTTATCTGATAATATTAGTTCTCAAACCGACAAATGTATCACTTCCTATTTTAACCCTAGAACTTTTTATACATTTAGATCCTTCTGACAAGGCCTGGCCATTGATAATCAAAAATAATGTATTAATTTAATTGATAAAATGCATTGTTAAATGTTGAAATTCATGCCAAACTCCCTTTTTTGCTCAACATCCTGTTGTAGGCATGTTTGTCCATGGTAAGTACTTATCATGGTTAATTGTATGAGTTGGGTATACCATTAGATTGTATCCACAGAATCCCAACATTAAATAAAATACAATTCATTTTAACATTTGTTAATCTTGCAAAATTTCAGCCATTTCATTAAAATTTAAGTAATTTGTAAATAAAAGTTAAAGAGTTGATTTTTATAAAATTGAATGAAACAAGTATAGGAAGCCAGCAATAAGAATACTTCTCTTCTCCCATGCAGAGCATCTGAAGAGGCAAGAAAGCTGCTAAAAATATTTCTCCCCCAAGACAGGTGTAACATAACCTTAATATTACTCACAAGGCATACTTTGCAAGTCCATTTTAAGCCATGATTTCACATCCCTCCACCATACTTTGTTATTATTGTTAATATTAGGTGGGTTTGTGAAGTTATTAACTATTCACTTTTAGTGCATTTACTGCATAGGGCAACAGTGAGGAACACCTCTGAACTTGCAGCAATCATACACCCAAGTAGGTGTCATTATTTTAAAAATTATTTTGAAAATTAGGGAGTTCTTGTTTACTGAAGCTCCCCCATGCATGAGCCATCCAAGTGCTAATGTCAAGAAACTAAATGCCTACATCAATTAGGTAACATCTTGCTTTTTTTTTTTTTTTTTGAGATTAAGCTCTCCTCAAAGCCAGTTTGGTGTAGTAGTTAAAGGCGCTGGGCTAGAAACTGGGAGACCATGAGTTCTAATCTTGCCTTAGGCATGAAGCCAGCTGGGTGACTTCTGGTCAATCATTCTCTCTCAGCCCTAGGAAGAAAGCAAGGGTAAACCATGTCTGAAATCTTGCCAAGAAAACTGCAAGGACTTCTCCAGACATCTCCAGAAGTCAACACTGATTTGAAGGCATCCCCCCACACACACACACACACATACACCCCTAGGATTTCCTAGATTTCTGTTTTATCAAAGTTCCCTACTATACATTTCAAAAGCAGACAGATCCAATAAAATGAAGCATTAACATCTGTGCTGCTTGTGTTATAATATATGAACAGGGAAAAGACATATTTAAATATAAGTGTCCTTACACCTATTTACTACATACTTTATTAGTGTTTTTGAAGAGCCTAATCACACTAAATTGAGAGCAAGTTCTATTCAAATGGGGTTTGCACAGATTTATACTATAGCAGACTAATCCTGTAAATTAAGGGTGATATGGAAGGATGGCTGGTTATTCCCTTAGATAATTGTGGTTTCTATATAATGCTGTTTTGTTTTTTATAAAATTTGTGAAGCCACCCAGTATCATTTTGGAGTTAGGTAGTCTAGAAATCTGATAAATACTATCTCACTCTCACACATACAAACTCACTCACTCACTCACTCACTCACTCTATCTAGAGTACATAATATGCAATAATTAAAGGATTAGTCTAGGACGGGGTAGATCTAGATTTAACTATGTGAGGTCATGAACATGGATGAATTGGCGAGTCTTTCTCTCACATGTGTACCTACTTCACTCACTCTGTTTGTGAATAAAAAAGGGAGACAACCATGAAAAAAGTTAAGGATACCCTGGTGACTATATGAACATGTCCATAAAGACTATTGCCTTTTTCCGGGATTTTTTTTTTAACTTCCTAGTCCAACCTATAGGGCACAGCACTGGAATTCTCTGGTGGTACAAGCCCCACCCTGTTTAGTTTCCAAACCCCGCAAGGTTGGCCACATGCTGCCATTGGCTGAGGACTAAAAATGCCACCTTAAATCCCTGGAAAAAAGGTGAGCCATGAACAGAATAAATAAGCTCCAGTGAATTCAGTAAAATTTAGAAGCGATTTAGCCAAACCACACAAAATGTCTTTACACTACTTCAAAAGAACTTCAAAGATGTTCAGTGCTTGGTCCAAATGACTTTTTATTCTACCATGCACCAATATCTTTATTCTTGTTGATTTTCCTTTTAAATCTGGCTGTTTTCACTTTTATAATTAAGGAAATATGTTTTCTTTAATTAAGAATAGTTGCTGGATTTACATGAACGTCCTTTTTCAAAAATGACATCAGTTTCTGTGGGAGATGATTGCTCCCTTCCCCAGCTTTGGAATAACAAGCCATAAAGAGAAATAGCATTTGAAAAGGTAGGAATTCAGGAAGACATAATTAGACCCCATGCATTGCAAATATTGATGCCCCCTCCATGACTACCTCCCCATTTTTTTAACAGTGCTGGATGGCTTATCTCCACTGTATAAAGAAGAACCTTAATGAAAGGTCCAGCATACCATTGTCCTATAGTAGAGCCAGGGCATTCTGAAGCAGGATATACAAGAGCTGGTTCTGGGGGTGTGAGCCTGTCCTAGAGGAGGGGGACTATTCTTTGCTGTGAACTATTTCTGAAGAACCCACCTGCCAAAGGATGCCTCAGCTGAGGTAGCAGAATTATAGTGCCTTATAAAGTACAGCACAGAAGACTACATGACATCCCTCCAAATATCTCCTGGGGAGACACTGGGATCAAGAGCAGGTGAGGTGGCTGCAGTTCCCGTGGGGTATCACAATCCCTGTGGAGCAAGTTTATTTGGAGTCTTCTAGTCTAATATGAAACAGGCCCACCTACAGATCATGATTGGAGACACTTTGTGGGCCAGGTGAAGCTTTCAAATGGGATTGAGAAGATTGTCCAAAGCTATGAATTTCTCCATTATGCTCAGATAGATCTTGATTCCCTGTCTAACACCCATTTTGTGCCACTTTCTCTCTAATTTGGACCTGACCTTGGGGCAGTGAGAAGGGAGGATTACTACCTGGCCCTGATGAAAGACTAACGTCACCTTAATTAGGAAGACTGAGTGCAGAGGTAGAGAGTCTCTCACCTCGTTGGATCAGTGTGATGGCTTGTATATTCTGGAGGTAGTTTATGGCTTTTGGGACCAGCTGGTGTTTGGTTCCTCTGTGAGATCTGGGGGATGTGATAAAATAATTGTGGAGAATCCTGTTGAATTTGATGACACAATAATGTGAGATCATCTTTAGAACTCATATATTTGATATTATACTAGGCTACAGGTGAGTGAACTGTGTTACCCTCCCACCCACAGAAAGACTGAGGCACTCTCATTGTTGTTTCTGTCCTCCCTTTTGTTGGAGGGGAGATCATACTCCCTCTGCTTTGGGGTTGGTGTGGTCTCTGCCCCCTCCCCAACAGATGGTCTGTGATCCCTCTGGTCAAAGGTTCTGTTTTGGATGTGG